TGGGAAGGTAATTTATAGTATAATTGATTTTAAAGACCCTTGGTTCCTGCTGAGGGAGAAATCCCCACTGTAATCACTGAAGAAAACAGTCATCAGGTTGCTTTCCAAGGATTCCATCATGACTCTCAGAAGCAGTTTAGCCATGTGGCTCTGTACAGTGAGTAGTAAAGGCTAATTAATCTGAGAGCAGTGCTGTCATAGTGTAGCTATTCTTGAACATCCACAGCGAGCTCACCTCTATTGCAGGGATTTCTGCATCACACTTTACTGTGTCACATGCTTGGATGACTTGAAATAATCGGAATTAGCCATTCAGTTTTTGAGATGTTGTGAATTCAAAATTGTTTAAAATATTTAAGGTGCCATGCTCAATAAAAAAAAAAAAGAAAGAAAGAAAAATAATCACAAAAGTTACATTAAACGTATGGGACTCATTCATACACGTTTTGAGATTTTAAATGCCTCCAGGCTATAACTAAGGAAGTTGGAACATTTTTTTAATCGTTTTAGGAGCTACAGCTTTGGGGAAAATATCACTTTTGAAACTTGCTATAAAATTACAAGTTAGCAGGTATACACAGGTCATTTAGATCTAGCTCAGCCTTTTTTCTCGTGTTTCTTCATTTTTAGAGGTGATGGAAGATCTCTAAAAGTGATAAGATCAAGTCAGATACCTCGCTTCTGAATTTAAGTACTTAGGAGAAGCTCAGGTACTATGATCAAGTGCTTTATAGAATGTGTGTCTTTTCACTCTATGTTGCTTGAAAAATGCTTTAATTAACTTACTAGTTGATTAGTTAGTTAATCTAAATTCTAAGACTAGTTAATTCTAACTAGTCTTAGAATTCATATGGACACCTCTGAACTTCATCACTGGCTATGTGAAATTCTCTGATACCATCTTTTTAATTCCTAGGATCTCTCAAGTGGTCGTGTTGGTTTTCAGAAAATAACTTTACTTGCGAATATAGAAAAAACTGAGTTTCGGTGTTCAAGATACAGGGTATCCACACCAAATTTAACCTTGCTGTTTGAATCACATGCTGATTTTTTGTTAGAATAACATTGAGTAGAATTAGCTCTCTAGTGTTCTGCTCTGCATTTGCTACTTTTTTGATGTCATGAGGCTTGGATGAGATCTGAGCAGACACTTGAGATCCACTGTAGTCTGTCTGTTACCCTCAGTTTTGCAGGATGGTTGCTCAGCTATGTCAGAGTGCTCACTCCTACCTCCTGAAGACCAGCATGCATGGTCCAGCATGCATGGTCCAGCTACAGCCAGCCAAATGGTCTCACAAAATGGACTGCTGTATTCTTCAACAGAAGTAGCTTGTGCTTTAGATCTTAGGAAAATTTCTTCAGCTTCAATCCATTCTGCTAAAATGAAAGACCAAACATAAAAATGAATGCCTCTAGTTTCTCTGATGCTGTATGACTGTATCGGCTGCTTTGGCACCAGCACACAAACAAATTGATAGATATTCAATATTAGTTTTACCTGGGCCACCTTCTTTTTTAGAGTAACCTTGTTTGGGGTGACTTCTGCTGCCTGTCATTTCATTGTTTTGGTGGGAAATCAGCATACCTGAAGAAATTAAGTGCCCTTTAGGTCCCCTTTGTCTCTATGTGACAGGATTATCTGAATGTAGAGTTGTTAATTGCATGAAAGTTTTGAGCTTATTCCTTTGCTTCCTTCTAGTTTTGTGTAGTGACCCATAAAGATTTTTTTTACTTGCTACAAATAAATAATGTACTTTCAAGTTAATTCAAGTAAATTTTTTGTCTTTACCACTTCTTCTCCCTCCTACCCCCTAGAAAGAACTACAGTGTATTTAGCAGAAATCTCAACTACTTTCTCTTCTTTCCTCTTAGCAAAATAATTGTGCTGTCCTTGCTCAAGCAGAAAGACAGTTTTCCAAAAATTAGCTGTTGTTCTATGGTTTTAGTCTGAAAACTGAAATTCCTTAAGGGCTATGCAAGAAAAGCCCTGCTTCCACTAGTGGGCCTTAATGGCCCTAACCAGCCGCTGCAGAGGCCTACACTGCAGCATACCTCATTGTACTGACTTAGGCTATGGCTGCTGCAAGATTCAGCCTCCAGAGCAAATCATCAGTATAAGGAATGATTTTGTATAGCAGTATTTTTGTGATTCTTGTTCTGCAGAAATTGAAGCCTGACCCTGTGTTCAGAAGCTCAGAACCATTTTTTACTCCTCTATGTTTGTTTAGGTCCCAATCTCACCTCTGTTTAGAGCAATATTTAAAAATTGACCCATTGGCACATAGACAAAGGGTATATGGTCCACTTTACCTCTCTGTAGCCTCTGTACTGGCCTTTCTGTCTCTTTTCAGAAATTCTTCTCGCAAAGTAGTTTTTTTAACAGGACGTCAACATGTTGTTAGGAGACACTATGGAAGTCCTGTTGATATTTGCCTATACCCAAAGATCCTGCTGCAGCTATTTCCTTGTACAAGGACTACATGAATTGAAGTCAGACATGCAGAAAAAATCAAATTTAGATGAATGATAGCAAACTGCAAGTGGTTCAGAAAGGAAGTTGTTTTGTATCATGTAACTTTCTCCATGCTCCCTTCTATTCTGCAGGTAGACTGGAGTGCCCTTGCTTCATGGCTGGCTGAGATAAGCTTCATGTGCTTTCAGTCACCCTGTGTGCAGTTCTCTGTGAATTGAATAGGATGCTAACAACAACTTCAGACTGTTTACATCACAGAAGGGTGCTTCTCTTGCCATACAGTATTACCTGAGTAAATGGGTTATGTTAGTTCTCTGACTAACCATAAGTCATGAGCCATTTCCAACTTTTTCCAGAGTAACCATATTCCACTCTGTGAATATGGCTGATTTTCTTCCTAACAGGTTGATGGCACTAAGGTTTGGTTGAACATACATCACAGTCAGTCCCCATGTCTATTTCACATCTGTCCACATGGAGACATGTTCTCTTCATGACGATTTCCTATAAGATTTACAAACCCGTTTTGATATTTTCTCTATGTCATAGCATTATCTGCTTAGCTCCTGGCTGTAACACAGTTTGTAAAGGTTTCTGTCCTGTAAGTTGTCCAATCAGAACAATGTCAGAAAAGATGTGCCTTCTCCTCTGCTAAAAAATGGATTATGATATGCTTGTTCAAGCAGCCTGGTCAGTGGTCTTCAAAGTTAAATGCTGCCATCAGTATTTTAAACCTAACAGTCTGGATGTATATAAGACCTCTCAGTTAAACTTTGGATACCCAGGTGTGTGCACACTATTTGATCATGAAGCACTGACTAAATGAGTTGTCAGTTCTGAGAAACAATAAAACTGAAATATACTTTGAATGATCATTTAAAGTTAAAGTTTTTACTTTTTTCTGAGTTTAGTATTATATTCTAAAAATAGTATTACTGTGGTATACCTTTGTCTTCTAGGTCCACTTCCTTTCAGTCTAATATCATTTGTGGCAATCAAATAATTACAAGGTTTCTGTGTTCCTCAAGAGAGGAGGCAAGAGCATCACAAGGTTTTCAAATTATAGGAGATAGAACTAATGTTTCGTTCATTTTTATGATATGTTTTGTGTTCTTACACCACAGACTCATGCAGTCATTTCATATCAGTTAAACTCAGATTATATTCTCTAGTTTTCAGGTAAGCAGTCAAGATCTCTGAATAGCAGAATGTGGTTTTTTGTAAGTTTAGGACTTAAAATAAGAAATCCAGTGATAAAGATATTATTTACTTGTTATTCAGAGATGAAAGGCACTAACAGAGGCAATTATGCATAACTCTTTTTCCATTCTTTGAAATGTAAGGGACTAGCATGAATACATCTGTTTGGAATTTTGAGGAAATTCAGATGTGGATGCAAAACCCGCATTTTAATCTCTAAGGCTGCAAAACTGGAATAGTAAATTAGGGAATTAGTATTCAGAGCTCAGCTCTGCTTCTTAGATCTATGTCTATTTAGAAGTGATTTGTGAATGCTTAAAAAAATATCTAGGAACTTGAAGAAAAAAGGACGGTACAGAGTATTTCAAATTTGCAAAGGTAAGAGAGATCTGACACATGAAAATACATCTCAATCAATTTCTATTTGTTTTCGTCTTTCAGAGCTTCCCTTTCAAACTACTCTGACTCTCACTGTGACACTTTCTAGATAAACTGTTCTGCTGATGTTACATCTGCAACAGAACTGCATAGGAACATGGTATCAGCTTGCCACAATTTGCATAGAAGTGCAAATCTGTTGCATTTAAAGAAATTGTAAAATTAAAATACTTAAACCCATGTGGTTAGGTAATACTGAATTGGAAACATCTCACAGTCATTTATAGTCTGACTTTGCTCAAATCAGAGTTCCCTGGTTGATGTGACATGATTATATGTTATGATTACATGTGTTAACCTTTCAAAATAAAATGTTCAGTTTCTTCTTTTAAATACCAAATGCTTATAGTTATAATACTTGCTGATATTTGCTCACTGACAGTCTCACTTGTTTTCAAACCCCACATATTTAAAGTTGTGGAGTGTTAGATTGATGTTTCTTTTCACTCAAATGTCATATTCATCAACTGTATTGTGCTAGCAGATTGTTAAACAGACAAGGTGACTTGCAGAGTGACAACTGATGTGATGTCCCAAACCATTAGAATACAGTAATGACGTGTTTTTTTCCTTTTCGGCTTTTGCAACACAGTGGGTTATCTGTAAAACACAGGTGAAAAAGTTTCTGAGTAGATCCACTGCTTGGAAAAATATCCTAGTTAATGAATAACAAAACCTGGAATTCAATTGTAACTACCAAGATAATTAAGTAATGCTGAAGACTTAGGACAGTATTAGGACATGTAACAGTATTTTATAAGGAGAAAAAGATACATTATACTGTAAGAAAAATGAAGTTATGTGATATATTATATTTTTTTACATAATCAATTTTGCAGGATCATTTTTTGGCTTTAATAAATGTTATTTTATTATTTTACTTTAACAGCCTCCCAAGAATACCCCAAAAAAGGAAGGAATTTCTGCTTAACATTGTATCAACTGAAATGTCTTTCTCAACTTATCAAACTCTTCTTATTAATGGAGGAAAAAATTGAAGAGCTCTGTGCAGAAATTCTGTTGCTGCCTTCATTTATGGAGCGGAATAAGAACGTTCAAGGTAATCAATCAAATAATGTATTGATTTACTTTGTGCAAAATATAATTTTTTATGATTTTCAACATTACCTAAATTATGACATCATATTTTGAAAATAACTTTGTTACCATATCCACTGAAGAAATCTTTGTAATACACAGATTTATATTTGAGCACAATGACTTGAGGAAAAGAACTCATAGCTGTATGTAAAGATGTGATGTACTGACTGTAGATAATGAATCATAATGAAAAACTATCAAACACTGTTACTTGACATTTCCTACTGAATTATCTGTAAAATCTTACGCTTCGTATAGGAGGCAACAATACATGGAGTCTGAATTCTTTGAAATTGACTGTTTCTGAACTTATCCTTGAAAGATGCCTTTTTCAAGAGAGAAAAGCACTGACTTGAACAACAGTTTAGTTGATCTTAGTATACATGCAACTAAATGTTTAAGAATATAGTCCTGGTTTAACCTGTACTTCTCATAAACATTTACAAATATGTACTATGTTTACTAATATGCTTATCCCACTGGCTTCAGTGGGTGTTTTATAGAAGTAGGCTCTACATCAGTAAAGTGATCAGGCCTCGTTTGCATTTGCTATAGATTCCAAGTTCACTCTCTTTTTCATCTAATTTTATTCAGGAGAACCTGATATGAAAATGGAGGTGAATAACACCTTTCAGATCGCAGTAAGCTCATAAATGTTCTTCTACTCTACTGCTTCTGCCAGTAGAAAAACTCCAAGTCACCAGAGACCAAGTTGTTTCAAGAGCTTTGATTCTATTGCAGGAAAAGATCAGACCAGAAATGAGTCCAGGCTGCTCAGGCAGAGAGGATAGGTGGAGTCAAATATTTACTTTCTGTGTAGTCAAGCTGCAAGCTGAGGAGAGAGGTGTTTTGGGAATATAGTCTTAGAATACTTAATTGATGAAAATAAAAATATTAAATGAGGCACACATTTTGTTGACGGATTCTTCCTCTGTAATCCTGACATTCTGAAATAAAGAAGTACAGGTTAATCTATGTATTTTTAGACTATATGTCAGAACTCTAATAAAATTTGCATTCAAGTTCCATTTTTGCTATTGGTTTCAGTGTATTTCTCCCTCCTTTAATCTCTCTGTTTTACTAATTCTCAAGAAATGTTAAGCTGTTATACATTATGATTTACGTTTTATGGCCTTGATCCTACAAAGAGGTGTTAGAGTAAACTTCTCATATTGTGGAGTCCTCCTCATGTGTAGGACAGGTACACATTCGGTAAGAGTGATTGTAAGTTTTTTTATTAGTATATTCTGTGATAAAGTGTAAAGAAGTTGAAAAACTCTTGAGTGGGAAATTTATTTGACATTTAAATAACTACACTCTAAGACGTGATCTCCAGTAATTCAGAGAACTTAAAGAACTCAACATTAATAAGAAATAATGTACTTTCCAGGAAGTGTATTTAGGAATTTATCCTACAGGCATTTTTCCAAGCTTAATTACATTCAGAACTGTTTCTCTAAAGTATGTTAAGCCTCCTTCTTTGAGGAATATTCTTTAAGGGTAATTCTGTCTATGACAAGTCAGTTCTTAATTGGTACCTCTACTTAATAAAATCTGAATGGGAAATATTATTAAATCTTATTGGCGGAAGGAGTCTTTGGGTAGAAGCTGCATTCTATAAAGAAAACATAAAATTACTTTTACCCTGAAAAACAAGTGAAGGGAAATATTTTACAGGTGCTTTTAGTGAAGTCTTCAGACATAGCTTTGTATTTAGTGTTGCGGTTCTGATCAGGTGGTTCTATTCACAAAACTTTGCTAAGTTTTATGTTTACAGGTAGTATGCAAAAAGAAGACATGTCGAGCAAAATTTTTAATAAGATGTCTAACTAGAAGAAGGGTTTATTTGTGTTATTTTCACTTCATATTGTCAGAAATCTCAGTTGTAGTGATGAAATGAAAAATTATTTAATGTGGGAGAATGAGAGCTATATTTCCAGTAGTTACAGGCTCTGTTAAGTACCAAAAGGGATTTAAAATTTTCTCTGTTAATGTCCTATATTAGACTGATAATCTTATTTTTGTCACTGATGAAGACTGAGTTTTGATAAGAAGGATAGATTAGAATCCTTGTTTTATTTCATCAGAACACATTATAATATGTGACTAGAAAATATAATTGCCATCTTCTGTACTTATTTAGAAGCCTTATTACCAGAAATCTTGTTTAATTTAACAAAATCTAGAGTGTAGATATGTCCAAAGCAGCTTTAAATTAACTGGAGTACCAGTATCAAGTTTACAGTGCAGCACGGACTTCAGAACCAGCCTAAGAAGCAGAGCAAATTAGCCCAGATTCAACCATGTGCTGCTGGTACTAGACAGTTACCTGTACTCTCAGTGGGTTAAAGCTAGGTTGGGTGTATCCAGTCTACGCTTCAGTCAGTGCAGTGAGGGATATCTGAAGTGTCAGTCCTCTGCAAGTAGTACTGCTGGCAAATTAGGGGAAACTGGCCTGTTCATAAAAGGTAGGTTAATGTCCAAGTGAACTAAAGTTTCCCTAGACATCACATAGATGGGAACCTTGCACTTGCTTTCTTTTTTTTGGTTGCTTTTAGTATTCACAGGAGTCTTTTATCTATATAACTCATGCAGAGATGCAACAAAAATAGCATGTTTTTTCATGTGCTTGTGTCAAGTGTTGCATTTATGTCTATAGCTGTTTCATGGGCAGTTTTAATTGGTTTTTTTTGCTTTATATCCCATAGTACTTCAATCTTGATATTTAGAACATGTGTCAAGTTCCATCAGAAACAAAGTAGTTCTTTGGATGGTTCCTCTTTTTAAATTTTTTTTTGTCCCAAAGATGGCATCTGAGTTTTATCTAAACTAGACAGTTTCTTGGCCCTCATTTTTCCCTAAACCCAGCAATGACAAAGAGCAATGGCTGCATAAATTGGATGTAAGAAGAACACTTAGGGTTTATCACAGAAGAATCAAAGATTTCATATCTTCTGACAGATTGTTTGTACTCTTAGGGGGTCTTAAGAGGGGTCAAATGGCTTCTAAGGGTTGCTTAGCTAGATGGTTAAGGGATTGTATTAGGGAGGCGTATGTAGTTAAGGGTAAAGAGACTCCCAGGGTTTGTAAAGCTCATTACACTAGGACTATAGCTGCTTCTTGGGCGGAGAGGTCGAAGGCTTCCACATTGGAAATTTGCAAGGTGGCCACCTGGGCTTCTCTTCATACTTTTTCATTGCATTATCGCTTGGATGTAGTCTCTTCTGCAGAATCTGCTTTTGGTAGGAGGTTGCTTGTGAACCAAAAAAAGAACAGTGAAGAAAAGAAAGACATGTAGTTCAGAGTTCTAGCTGGCAACAAGACAAGTTTCTTTGCAGTGTGCACAATGGAATCCTATGAAGACCAATTTAGGCGGTTGAAAATAGATATTAGAGGGAAGTACTGCCTACCAGTGTTCTCTGATGGTAACCCCATGGCAGACAATAGCACCAAAGGAAGCAGTGAACCAGAGTGAACTCTGTAGGGAGATGGATGTAGAGAGTTTTTTTAGGTGATACGGATATGTCTCTGAGTTCAGTTTGAGAGTTCTGTATCTGGCATCTTCTGGAATATATTCAGAATCCTCATTTTCACAAATTGTCTTTTATAGATTGCAAAAAAATTCTCTGAATTGCATTTTCTACTCTTCTTTTCACTGTTCTCCATCTAGTTCTTCCTGATTTTATATTTTTGACTTGACTTTACCAGAGCTATCTTAGCTTCTATCCCTCAATGACCAGTATGTACTTGCCAAGTTTTGAGCTTGATTTCAAGTTGCATTTGCGTTATTTAAGCACAATTTTAAAGAAATGTAGTATAAATACACATTTTATCTACTGCTAGTGTATTGTTCAAGTTATGCCTTACATCATTTAAAAGGAGAAAATAATGAAAAGTCCTTGGACAAACAAATGATGATGTGGTTTTGTTCCATCCCTGAACTTTAGCTTGGCATCTGGACAAGACTGCTACTCTGCCTTTCAGAGGAAACGTATCTGTATTTTTCTAACATATATTCTCAGTGTTGCATAACTTTGTTCCACTACAAGCATTAGATTTCATAAAATTAAAGGAGTAACCACCTTCTGTTTTTTCTTGACTAGACATTTAACCCTTTCTTCTGCAGGTATCTGGTCATCCGTCCTGTGATGAGACAGTCTGCTTCTCTATTTACATTCAGTTGAATTCTGAGTTGTTCTGACATACCTAGTACTTGCAGCATCACAGGGGTTATTCTCTTTGAAGTAATCTGGAACATGTTCAGCTGCAGTCAAGGGTTAAGAAGATTTTAGTTTAGAATCCTGCCAAATTGCATTCTCTTCCCATCTTTAAGGTAGATTTGTCTTTCCTCTGGGTTTTCAGAAGCCTCTTGTTGAGAGTTTTAAAAAATCTAAAGTACTAATGTACTTTCATCTGTCTCACTATTTTTTTTTCCATTCCAGTGAGAAAGGTGAACTTTGGACAGATCAGATAACAAGTATCACAAAAGGCTTTTTCTGATGGAGTGCTTTGAAAATACTGTAGGCAAAGTTGTCAAGCCCTTAGATTTATAAGCTTTGCCTCACAGGACTGGAAGGTTTGCAAAGGTCTTTCCTTCACACCGTAAGACGAAATCCTTAATTCTATATTCATTTCTGGAAAGTGTAGTAAAAGTAGTGTGAAATTAAATTTACGAGGTGCATCCTCTTAATAGGTGCATCCTCTTTTATTGCCAAGTTGCAATATTGCAAAAGTTGCAAAGATTGAAGAAAGTTGTGATTTTTTTGCTTTAATCTCAAAGCAAGATGTTCAAGTAGCTTCTTTAAGAAATACATAGCTGCAATGGATCAATCGAAAGTGAAGATGGAATTTACACTAGGATACATTTTATGTATTTGTGTTATGACAGTTTGCTCAGTATAGTACAACAGATAAAAAGTCCGTTATTGAAGATAGAAAGCAGAATGGGTTTTTGATCTA